GGGCTGGTGCCGACAAGCGATTTGTAAGAGGGCCTTCTCGAGTGCAGCATGTGAACAAGCCTCAAGTGGCATCACTAGCGCGATTGGTACTTAACTTGGCCACTCTCATGCTGCCGGCGCAGCAGCCGGAACTGATAGTATATGACATAATGTGTCTGCATGTGTCCGTGTTGGTGTTGACTTGTCGAGTTCTCTTTTGGTCGCCGGCAATTTGTCTGTTCCCGTTCGCCAAGTCATAAATCCTCACGATAATTGAGCAATAAAGTTGGACGCTATTGCAGACATTTGCTCATCTGCCTCGGGCAGTTTATGAGCAGACCGGCCGGTTCCGCTAATCCGCAGTCTCGCGACGCTCGATTCGGGCGTCGACCGGCCGAGAGGAGGGTGTACATTTGGGTCGGAGAGGAAAGCGGCCCTGAGGCACAAGAGCAGTCGGAGGAAGTGGGTGAAATTGCTTTGGCACGGCTCTGAATTGTTTAGTGCTGCTGCGATCGGATTTGGCAACTTATGCGTCCGTCGCGATGTGCCCCAGCACGGACGGTCGTGACGCTGGTGTGGATAAGATGGTAGACCAAGAGGGACTATACGAATGGGGCATAAAGTGCTGGGAATCTGGCGAAAGAGCACAGTTAGGGATCGGAGAAAATGGACACTTTTGGCATAGCATGCGGGAGATTAGATAAATGTATACGAAGAAAAGTTGGGTTTTGAGCAATCTCTTGTTTCATCATTTTTGAGCTCACTTCCCTTTCGAGTGGTGGTGTGCGGTGAAAAGGTGCTAAGCTTTCGTCCGTGGGACATCATCAGAGCGAGGTATCATCGTCACAACAAAATACAAGCTAACGAGTCAAGAAAACTCATCGGCAAATCCCTAAAAAGTGGTATATATACTCTACATCAGGCCTCTTTGATGAAGTATAACTAATCAAATCACTTTATACTTGATCAAAGAGGTCAAATGTAGAGTATATATACCACTTTTTAGGGATTCGTTAGCTTGCAGTTTGTTGTGACGATGATACCTTGCTCTGATGATGACGGTTTCGAAGGAGATC